ATTTTGTTAGATGTATATACATTTCCCTGTTTATGAGATTGAATATCCAGTGTTGCTGCTTTACATGAAATTTAGTTGATAGTAATTATCCTAGTTTCCAAAGTTACATAGAAAACTTTCCTTTTGTATCCCAACAGAAGCAATACTAATTTTTTTATTGCAGTATAAATTCACTGAAGGTTTTTTAAAAAGATATTGCATGCATAATTAGGGATTAGCGCTCAGTCGCTCAGTCCTATCCACCTCCTTGCGGCCCCATGTTCTATAGCCCACCAGGCTCCTCTGTCCACAGGCTTCTCCAGGCAAGAATACTGGTTGTTGCTCAGTCACTCAGTTGTGTCCTACTCTTTGTGATCCCGTGAACTGCAGCACACCAGGCTTCCCTGTCCTTCACTATCTCCTAGAGTTTGCTCAAACTCATGTCCATTGAGTTGATGATGCCATCCAAACATCTCATCCTCTGTCACCGCCTTCTGCCCTCAGTCTTCCCCAGTCTTGGGGTCTTTTCCAAAGAATACTGGAGTGGTTGCCATTTCCTTCTTCAGGGGATCTTCCTGACCCAAGGATCGAATCTGTGTCTCCTGCATTGCAGGCAGATTCTTTACTGCTGAGCTACTGGGGAAGCCCCAATTTAGATGAGCAACAACAAAGAAAAGATACTTTGATTTTTAGAGTTCCTTGCATGACTTTGTTGTGACCATGCAGATATTGTCCTTGGTACTATGTTTGGAACTAAGTAGAGAAGGGATGCAGAAAGGAAGTTCCCAGAAATCTAAGTTCATAAAAACCTTTATAACGAACTAGTGGAGCACAACTCTTTTGTAAATTCGGAATTTCATACAACATTGGGGAAATCCCCAAATGCAGATTTTGTTTGTTTGTTTGTTCATAAAATTTGTTTTCCAAAATGTCTTCCCCCTTTTCTCATAGACCTATTAAGTTCTTTGAAGGTGGGAATCAGATCTTGTTCATTTTTGTATCCTAGGCATAATTCCAGGCGTACAGCAGGTGCTCAATAAATGTGTGAATAATATGCTCAAAGAATAGTGAAAAGATGGAACTTGAAGTTAGAAGGCCTGTGACTTTTTTCCCCCCATTAATTCACTTGAGCTTTAAGAACTTTGTAGAATATTTTTCAACCTCAGTTTCATCAACTCATGAGTGTACTGCTTGTTCCATTTACTTCAAAAAATTGAGAAATAAATGAAATAAAATTATCTTATCTCTTAAGGTTCCGGAAGAGTGTCAAAAAGGAGATATCCTTTTGGTAATACCTTACTTTAATTGGTATTTAGTATTTAAACTTTTTCTTGAACATTAAATATGATGCTCAAGATGTTATATATAATAAATTTCTTAATGACAGTAATCATGCTAAAATTTTTTAAAACATGATTCCTTTCTATTTAGTATTTTTTTTCTATTTAGTAGATATTTATGACCCATTTCATTATAAAAGTTTTTTGTTGGGGAGGGACTGCTGATATCTAGATGCACTCCAAAAATTATAGGGCAAGAAATTTTCTTCAAAATATGCATGTCTGTAAACCTCCATCTTACCTTCCTAATGAATATTGAGGATATTAAAATATACACTTATTCTTTTATCTGACAGCTTTTACCCAAGGTTACCCAAAATAACTGATAATACTGTATTCTGTCATACTATTAATTGGGTGAAGGGGGTCACCTTAAAGATTTAGATTTGAGGTGGTCCACTAATATTCCTAATAGTAAGTACAGTATTAATCAGTCACTCATCTAGTATTCTTACTTTCTAGAATATTTTGATCATGGAAATAAATAAAATACCACCAAACATAATGCTGCTGCTGCTGTTGCTAGTCGCTTCAGTCGTGTCCGACTCTGTGCAACCCCATAGATGGCAGCCCACCAGACTCCGCCATCCCTGGGATTCTCCAGGCAAGAACACTGGAGTGGGTTGCCATTTCCTTCTCCAATGCATGAAAGTGAAAAGTGAAAGTGAAGTCGCTCAGTCGTGTACGACTCTTCACAACCCCATGGACTGCAGCCCACCAGGCTCCTCCGCCCATGGGATTTTCCTGGCAAGAGTACTGGGGTATTGCCTTATTGCCTTCTCCACCAAACATAATGAAACTATCACAAAACCTGCAAACTTTACTGCCTAAAGAAGGAGCTACCGCCTTTCTTCTTAAGCAATAAATTTAATTTTACCCATTATATTTTAGTAATCTCACTTCTCTTGGGAGGCTTGAGTTCTATGAGTTACAGTTAATTCAAATTAGGCAACAAGCTATGGACAGCAAAATAGAAATAGGAAAGGTAAGAAATAAACCTTACAGTAGGACTTTAACAGCACAGGACAGAGAGCTGTAAGGGAAGAAGAAAGAACTAACTGTATTAACAGGAGTCTAAGGGAATTAAGGAAATCAACAGAATGGGAAAAACTAGAGATCTCTTCAAGAAAATTAGAGATACCAAGGGAACATTTCATGCAAAGATGGGCTCGATAAAGGACAGAAATGATATGGACCTAACAGAAGCAGAAGATATTAAGAGGAGGTGGCAAGAATACCAGAAGAACTATACAAAAAAAGATCTTCACGACCCAGATAATCACGATGGTGTGATCACTCACCTAGAGCCAGACATCCTGGAATGTGAAGTGGAGTGGGCCTTAAGAAGCATCACTACAAACAAAGCTAGTGGATGTGATGTAATTCCAGTTGAGCTATTTCAAATCCTGAAAGATGATGCTGTGAAAGTGCT